ACTGAAGACCAAAATAGATTAGATGCAAAGTACATAAAATATATATATTCTCTTTTAAGATATGAATATGTGAGAAGTCAATGCATTAATTCCCGTGTAAGGTAAGTTTGTCAAAGATTACTGTTTATACTAATGTATTTACATAAGTATTTCTCTTTTTAGGTGTATAGTTCCTGATAAAGAAGTTTTTACAGTTGCAACAACAAATTTGCATCCAACTTTGCAAGCATGGTTTAGAGAGAGTGACATTGATGCATTTGTTAAGAACATTCTTTTAAAGAAATGTTTAAAATAAACTTGTATAATTTAATAGATAATTTTAATTTTGTATATAATAAATAATATATTTTAAACCTATTTATATACTCACTGATTTATAAAATATTCCCCATATGACTCTGAATTATGTATATCATCCGATATATTTTCAGAAATATCATAGTATATTTTTAATGTTTCTATACTTTCTTCTTTTGAGAGAATTTCACCCTTTGCAGTAACAAATAAGTGTCTATCGAATTCATTAAAGCATTTTGACGAATCTAATAGTTTGTGTGGATAAGCAAGATCAAAAACAACATTCCCCCGTTCACCATGAACCCATTGTGCACCTAATTCCACTACATTGTCCGCTGAAAATATAAAATTATAATTGCTTTAAAAATAAGTGCGTTTCTTTATCCTATGCAACAGAAATTGAACTTTGTGTATGAATGTTTAATGAACGTACAATAGAAACAGAAATAATTTACTTACAAAATTCTACTGTATGTATTCTACCGCCGATCCGATCTTTTCCTTCGAGAATTGTAATATTTTTTAATCCTTTTTCTATTAATCTAGTTGCTGCAGCAATACCCGCTGCTCCAGCGCCAATGATTATTATTTTTGGATCTTTAAACATTGTATTGTTTTAACAACGTTTTGAAGTAGTAGATTGTAATTAGTATACTATGATATCGTTATCATATGTACATAATTTATTCCGTATTTAATCTTTTTATCTAGAATAACAATAAATGCGATTAATGTTTAAATAACCATACTAAAAATATATCCGACGTAAATATCTGGTAGTGTCAGTATCATGCTTTGATCAGCTGATGTGATGTATTCCGGAAGTGGATAGCGCCACAAATACCATAATACAAAATTTTCATCTTTATACAAAATGCTAATGAATTCGTGGGTCAGTTTTGGAAAAGTGATTCTAAACATCGAAATGAATATTAAACTTGATATGCAAAAAAATTGATTGAGACTTAATGTTCAAGTTATAAGTAATTGAATTTTGCACTAAAATTTCATCATTTCTCATTGGTAAACTGTAGATTTTTATGCATTTATAGGAAACTAGTACATACAAAATTACACATAATGTAGGTAGTATGAAAAAATATGTAAAATATCCAAAGTATACTTAGTGCTTAGTGTACTTCACCCGCCCTAGTATGAAGTGCCCTATGTTGCTGATTCTCTCCCTACCAACCGTTGGGTTTCGTCTGTTCATCGTGCCTTTCCGGCTGGGCTTTATCCGAAGCTTTTACCTGACCTCGGGTCATTAAGTTTACAGCTCGGGAAGGACATGTAATTCAGAATTTCCTAAAGAAGAAAATGGGCCTGCCCGTGCCATAAATGGACGGCCACTCAAAATTCCGAACAGTTATAATTGGTAGATTCATAGTCTACCGATTAAAAGTCTAGTATTGATTTTTTAGCTATACCTTATTTCCCGGTTACAAAAATTCATTTTGTATCGGATCGAATTTGATATATATTAAGTATAAATTAGATGTCGATAATATGAACGTTTTAAATATTGATAAATCGATTCATTTTTCGATGTGAAGCAATCGAGTATTGAGTATCGAGTATCGAATCTGAATGTAATGTAAACAACTTCCAAAGTGTTTCTTTATTATTAATATTAATTTTTAATAGAATCATCAAGAATAAAATAATTGATATTATCGAAAAGTACTTTTGAAATATTGATAATAGTGGCATTACGACATATTCACTGAATATATTACTTCGTTCTTTTAAAGTTTGGGAATACAATTATATGGAATATAGGTTATATGTGGATTCCTTAATAATACACAGAATACTATGTCTGTTATCACATAAATTATTCGTTTGAATCGTCTTTGAATCTTAAAATATTTAAAGTATTTAATTGTGTAAAAAATGGCACAAGAAAAAGGAGATCCTCCACGAAAGGTTATTTTACTATCTGATATTTTATCTCTTATTAATTATATATCTCTAAAATTTCTCTAACTAATAAATTAATAAATGTTTCTTAATATAGAGATACAGAAGAGAAGGAGACAAGGAAAGCAGTCCCTTGGAAACAGATGACGATTATGTTCCTTATGTGCCAGTTAAAGAACGTAAAAAATATCAATTAATTAAGCTTGGTAAGCTTGGACAACTTAAAGATGAAGCTGCTGCTGGTATTATCGGGAAAAGTAGCAGTGAGAATGAAAAGGATGATGCAGATGATGATGACGGGCAAGTATGGGGAAGAAAGTCGAACATTTCTTTGTTGGATCAACATACTGAATTAAAAAAATTAGCAGAAGGTAACCGTGTATGGCATACTTCATGAAATAAAAAATTTTCAATAATTTAAATTAGCCGATTCGTAAAATATTTTAGCTAAGAAGGAAAGTGCTATGGAAAAACAGTTGAAGGAAGAAGAAAAGATCCTAGAGAGTGTAGCAGAAAATAAAGCTTTAATGGGTGTAGCGGAATTAGCAAAGGGTATTCAATACGAGGACCCAATAAAGACCAGTTGGAGACCTCCAAGAGCAGTTCTCGCTGCAGGAGAAGCAAGACACGAAAGGATTAGGAGGAAACTTAGAATTTTAGTAGAGGGAGATGATGTACCACCACCATTGAAAAGCTTCAAAGAGATGAAATTTCATAGAGGTATACTGAATGGCTTGGAACAGAAAGGTATCGTTAAACCCACACCAATTCAAGTTCAAGGAATACCAACAGTGTTAGTATACATTTATTGCATATTTGTAGTCATGTTTCTGTAAAATATAAAGTATTTATTTTTTTCCTTTTTATAGATTATCAGGTCGCGATATGATTGGCATTGCCTTCACTGGTAGCGGTAAAACATTGGTATTTGTATTACCTATTATAATGTTTTGTCTAGAACAAGAAGTGGCTATGCCATTTGTGAGAAACGAAGGACCATATGGTAATACTATATTGTGATAATATAAAAAATAAAATATTTAGAAAATGATATTAAATAATATAATGATATTAAATATGACGTTTATCTCCTTTCAGGTTTAATCATTTGTCCGTCTCGAGAATTAGCGAAACAAACTTACGATATTATTCGACATTATACGAATACTTTACGACAAGCAGGTTGTCCCGAAATACGCAGCTGTTTAGCAATTGGAGGTGTACCTGTATCAGAATCTTTAGAAGTTATTAATAAGCAAGTATTCTGCCAACACTTTGATTTTTCTTATTTCGATATTTCTATCGCATTATATAATCTTTGCCTTCATTATAGAGGTGTTCACATTATGGTGGCAACTCCTGGAAGACTAATGGATATGTTAGATAAAAAGATGGTGAAACTTAGCGTGTGTCGTTATCTGTGTATGGACGAAGCCGATCGTATGATCGACATGGGTTTTGAAGAAGATGTGCGAACAATTTTTTCGTTCTTCAGGGTAAATATACTTTGTTATATTTTTATTATATTAAAAATTGTTTGTACTACATTTGAGCATATATTTCATATAGGGTCAGAGACAAACGTTGCTGTTTTCTGCAACTATGCCAAAGAAGATTCAAAATTTTGCGCGTTCCGCTTTAGTAAAACCTGTGACGATTAATGTTGGTCGCGCAGGTGCAGCGTCTATGAATGTAATACAAGAAGTTGAATACGTCAAGCAAGAAGCTAAAATCGTGTATCTCCTGGAATGTTTACAAAAAACTCCCCCACCTGTACTTATATTTGCCGAGAAAAAGCAAGACGTTGATGCTATTCACGAATACCTATTGCTAAAGGGCGTTGAAGCGGTAGCAATACATGGTGGAAAAGGTATATTCAATTTTAACGCAATAAATATCATCAAGTATATTTCTAGTGTTTAAATTGTGTAATTACTTTTTTATAGATCAGGAAGAAAGATCACGTTCTGTAGAAGCTTTTCGTGAAGGCCGGAAGGATGTATTGGTTGCGACGGATGTTGCATCCAAAGGTCTCGATTTTGCCGATGTGCAACACGTTATAAATTACGATATGCCGGATGATGTTGAAAACTATGGTAATTTAGCATGTTTCTATTAATTATTAAGCAATGATTAATTACATAAATAATTAATTTTTATGTATAGTGCATAGGATCGGAAGAACTGGGCGTTCTGGACGAACTGGAATAGCAACAACATTTATTAACAAAGCAAATGACGAGTCTGTGTTACTGGATCTTAAACACTTGCTTATGGAAGCGAAACAAAAGGTTCCACCATTCTTGCTGGAACTTTGTTCAGAGAATGAAAAATACCTCAATTTGGGAGGTAAAACGATTGCAGATAACATTTACATTTTCTTTCTTGTTAAGAAGCAGGAAATAAACCGTGTTTTTTCATTACATTTCAGATGAGCGTGGATGCAGTTATTGTGGTGGTCTTGGTCACAGAATCACAGAGTGTCCCAAACTGGAAGCTATCCAGAACAAACAAGCTTCGAATATCGGACGCCGTGATTACTTGGCCAGCAATGCAGCTGACTATTAAACTGGAATATTTTGTACATATCTTTTAAAAAATAGCGATTTCTTTGTGTAATATCGTATTTTGTAAATAGTCTTACAAAATTTGTATTCATAATTAAACATAGATATTATCTCACTCTTTCCTCGACACTGCATACTTCCTGCTAGCTTTAAACGCGATGCTTTTATGTTTTCTCTGTTCATCAATTTGGCACACGATACGCACAAAGATAGAAATTTGTCAACAAAAACTCCGTCTGAATTGACCTGAATAATGATTAGAGGGCAAAATGGGAAGGGGGATGACGATTTCACGAGGATCAAAAATCAGAAAGCCGATGAAATAGAGGCACGGCGAAGGATAATAGAGAAAAGTGCCGAAAAGAAGCGAAGATTACGTCAACAGCACATTGAACGCAAAGAAGCATTAGAAGCGGAAAAACTACAATATGCCAAGGCGGCTGGTGATGTAAAAATTCGGCAGCTTAAACGCACGCAGCGACTAGTCGAGGAGCTTGCACGTCGTAAACGTAAAAGCGCAATTTTCCTTTAACTCGTTGTTAAACTGTTGGTGTATATACATTCATGGAAAATTAGAAATTGCAAAGATGCACACAATGCATATAATATGCAAACATATACAAAATATGCAAAGTACAATACTCTCTATAATGTTTTATGTTTAATGTTTATTATAACTATAACGTCTATATGCTTGTAATTATATCCATAAAAATATGAATTTGCATAAATAGCCGCAGTCTATTAATTAGAAATTTACTTACTGTGCACCTATTAATATAATACAGATATCGAACTGCAAGAGTCATTAAAGAGTAGAAAGATAAAATCTGCTGTTCCATCTGTATGTAACGAAGCTTTGGAGAAGAAACACGTAGAGTTGATAGAAAAGAAGACTCAGGATGAACAGATACAAACTTCTAATCTGTCCAGCCCATGGGATGTCGAGGAAGATTTTGAGATAAAGCAGCGGCAGAAGAAATTAAGTTACAAAAGAGATCTCCAGAACCAACTCCTAGATAATCGACGGAAACTGCGTGAGAAAGAGGAGGAGAAGCATCGCGAGCGAAAAATAATGGAAGAAGTTGACGAGACGATGCACCAAGAAAATTTGGAAGCGGAGAAGAGGAAGAAAGAAATAGCTGCTTTGATGGAGGCTGAGAAGGATGCTTTTTTAAAAGCTCGACGATTTTGGAAAGAGAAGAGGAGGGAGGTTCTGAAGCAGGAACACGACGAGATTTTGCGAATCATCGCTAAAAGGGAGGCTTTGCAAAAGAGGGAAGCTGAAGGAAAGGTTCTACGAAGACGTCCATTCGTTGGCACTGAATTTTATCTTAACAACGCACCTGTCTTTTTTAGGCCGATACTCAGGCAGCTAAGGACGCTATGTTAGAAAAGATGATGAGTAAATTGATGGAAGAAGAGCATAAACGAATAGAACGGGAAGAAATTTCCAGGGAATTATATTTGGTAGAGAAAGAACGCAAACTGGCGGGTGAAGCGATTAAACTGGCGATGAAAAAGAAACGTACTGCGAGACAACAACTAGAAGAGATGGTGAGATTATGGTTGCATCGCGGAATTTCTTCTTTTTTGTTTTTCATTGCGCATTATCTTTTTATACAATACGCGTAAGAAATGTAACATAGTGTATGAAGATTGTTAGAGGCTGTAAAATGAACAGGCAAAAACTCAGAGAGCTGTGGCTGAAAGGAAGGCGAAAGAAAATGCGATCGACGCTGCTTTCGCCAAGTATTTGGCAGATGAACGAAAGAAACAGGAGGAAAAGGAAGGCCAAAAAGAGCAAGCACGACGCGAAAAAGGTATGTAAATCGCCGTTGATATCAAAGATATCGGAACTAACGTGGCTAAGCTTTGCCATATTTTATTTGTAGTCGTCCAATATGGAAATGAATTGCGCGAGGCTATAGAGCAAAATAAAACGCAACGTTCGAAGGATGCAGGAAAGATAAGGCGTGAAATTAATATTAACGAAACTAAGTGTCATTCGGAATCTAACTTGGAGGCAGTGAAATTTCAGCAGGCAAAGAACAACGTGCTTTAAATAGAAACACCGAAGATGAAATTAAATTTTTAATTCTACAGCTATTTATTGGTATACAGATATATACAATGATGCGCGAAAACCATCGCTCTCGCGGTTCTTGCGGCTCTCGTCATTTATACAAAGTCCGTGTAAAAATACAGCAGCCCCATCTTATATTGGATATTAAGTACATGATAAATTAACAGTCTCGCCTCGGGCGTGTCCAGTATCGAAAAATCGGACGGGAACAGCTAACTAACGAGTTTCGTTCTGCCGATCGGATTTTTCTTGGCAATCGAGGCAATTCTCGAGCGATTTCTTCTACCATTTTTACCCCTTCCATTTGCAATTTTTCATTTTCGATTTATAACAATTGTCATGTAATATCAAAACGATCGTTTCAATTTCTTTCTTCCTTCTTTTTCCGTCTCTCTCTCTCTTTCTCTCTCTCTCTCTTTCACTCTATGTTAAAACATCTTCGGCGTAAGAAGGGGTTGAAGTAGCGAAACAAGTAGCACTCGAGCATTAAGAATAACTATAAGTACGAACGTTAGTTTTCTCGGTGACTGGCTAGTCGCCATAGTCGCTTACAAACTAATTTGATCGGTCGATCGTTCTCATCTCTTCTTTAAATGACGAGTAAATTAACATATCTATCGTTAAAACATTATACACTTGGAAACGGTACAGTAATATTCGGAAATGAACTCGTGAAACGCATTCCTGAGATCGTAGAGAAATTCTTTTCTCGGAAGATCGTCGTTCAATGGATGATCGTAATGATCGTAAACTTTAAAAACTGAATACTATTGTAAGTTGTCTATTTGTATTCCTTATACGCTACGTGAAATCCTTATCTCCACGTATCGAAATTGCATCTCGACGAATGGTCCTGACCTACGGTTCTTTCTTCCAGCGAACTAAAGAACCTTTATGGAGAATTTCTTAAGTACGAAGCGATAACGAGGGAGGGAATTAGGCGACATGGCCACTGGCTCAGAACCGGTCAAGTTCACGAATTTAACACAGATTGGTCTTAAAAGTAAAATCACATTTCCTTTGATAACCCATTTGCCTACATCGACTCGCTACTCTTATTTTCTCTTTCGACTGACGCGGTTTTCTACGCGTCGTTTCTTCTAACTTTTCTCTAAGAGAAACGAAGAAAGGAAGATGGATCCAAGAATTTCTCAGCCAGTCGGAAACTGCAGTCGCACTAGTTGATTCTTCTCTGTTTCGTTTAATAAATAGTACCGACTATTCGAGTAAACGTTTCTGACTAAATAATAATCGCTTACGATTTACGTAATATTAGGCCAATGGGTTAATTAAATATTAGTCGCGTAACACATATTGAACGATCGACTCTCAGAGATTGCAGAGACTCGATCGCAATCCGCTTACGCCTGTTAAACGTGTATATAAATTCACGTAAAAGTAAAATCACATATTCTTACGATTTAAGTACACGTACGCACGTATGTATACACACAAGCAGATTTTTGTTCATTTATTCGCAGCAATCGGCAAAATACTCTACTGGTTTTAATCAGAGGTGGGCAAACGAAGCGTGTCTCGATGGTTCTTTCGCGTTATAACGATATACACGTATCATTTTACGCGTAATTCCCTCTTGTACGATACGTTATGGCAGTATTTATCGCAGCGTGTTTTACATTAATGAACAACGAAAAATAGATTTGCCCACCTCCGTCCCTTAACGCTAATAATATCTCATCAACGGTGAACAAATCTGGTCAGAAATTTCCTGTTGCTCTTCGTCAACGAGACCAATCACGACGCCTTCTCTCGGCGTCTTAACGACGATACAAGCGTTTTTTTTTTTTTTTTTTTTTTTTTAACACATAACTCTCGCAAGTCTCTAGTACGTTTCGCGGAAGCTATTCTTCTTGTTTCACGAAACCATAAATGTTACCGGATATTTCAATAATGCTTGCGATCGATAAGATCTTTATATGGTGGGTCAAAGTAATAGAAGCATCGGGTAAATGCTAGAGTATTCTGAGAAAAACACCGTTTCTGTGGAGTGGAATGAATCGAAGCAAATAACAAATAACATTAACAAACGTTAGAATAAGAACAAGTAGTTTCAACGAGGGAAATAAGAGGAACATAGATTCGATTGGATGGAAAGAGATTTGGAGGAATCGTTGGAATGTTCGACGGGCACAGAATCGTTTCGTTAAGCGATATCGACTAATAGCACCGCAGAATAGTAATGATAAATCATTTCAATACGATTAAGCTACAGCCGTTTTCCCAGTAGAGTAGACAGTCTCTGAATACACACTGGGAGGAATGAAACTCATGGAAATATAGCGAAGAATGCGTGTCGTTAATTCTCGTATCTTTTATACAGTCTCAAAAATATAAATAGCTCAACGAGAGTCTTGCCATCGCTTATCCACTGGAAATGCAAATAATCCGGCAAGTTTTACACCGCGGTTAGGAATTGCCGGCGAATAGGAACCATGAGAATAGTACGTTAGATTAACAACAGCAAGTGCAGGCAAAAAGTATCAAGTTGACGATAGACGATCTTTAAAGAAACTCAAAAAGGATAGACTAGCTTCAACTATCAACCGCGATTTACGTTCTCAAAGATTCTTCTCTTATTTTCTTTTCCAAGAGAAACTTCGATTCGTCGCTAGATCACGAATTCCTTAGCAAATCGTGTGTCTGCTGACTTCCTGTTTGTCTCACGAAAAACCATCACCAAAGAAAAGCAAGAAGTTTTCTCTTCGATCGCGAGATTCTTTTCGTAAGTTTCGAACAGCGGTGTACGATAGGCACGATATAGTAATAGTTTTAAGTGTTTTTCTTTCTCCCATTCTCTTTCTCTCCGTTATTCGTCTCCAAATAAGACGATACATCACTCTAGAAGTCGCATCTCACATCGATCGAACGCTGATCCCTTAATTGTTATTAAAGCTGCGATCGCAAACGAATCGTAATCTCGTGTTTCCGGAGAAAGAACAAATTTTTCTGCGCGCTTTTCGACAAGCGAAAATAGGTCTGTGACTTTTTGTCCCTTGCGTCATCGATACGTCGATGCGCACGGCTGCGGTTAGTCTTCTCTTTTTTTTTTCTTTTTTTTTTTAAAGTGAAATTTGGCCCCTTTTCTTTGGAAGAAGAAAACTTGGCTTGAATCGTTCAACTAGCACTTCCATAGAACGCGCGGATCGTTTCGGTGATCGATCGTTACATCGTAATACGAATTCGACGATTTACGAGGTGAATTATTCTGAACGTACGACAGATATGTCGTCTTATTACTAGGAAGACGTGAAAAAGAGCGAAAGCGTACGCCATATGTGTATGCGTGCTCCTCGTTATTAGATACCGATAAAAAAATAAATTCCAGCACAGTAGAACGGAAGAAGCTCATTTGGGGTTGCGTCAACGTTTATGAAAACACGCCCAGCAGCCATTAGACTAATACGATAAAACGGTTTGGTTCTTCGAAGTTCGATTTCACTAATAATAAATATCTTCTTCTTTTGATTCTTTATTCTGTCGAGCGTTTTTTAACGATCGACCAGAGCGGTTAATTATATTTATCATTAGCGAAACTGAGGCTGAACCACGGGATAGCATGTAAAAGGTTTTCACATGTACCTATCCTTCGCGACTTCGGCGGACGGGATTCTTCGACGTATCGATTTCTTCGATACAGATCTTTTTTCTAAAAAGATTCCTCTAAATAATGAACAGATCTAAGCGTCTCTGATTCACCGTGGTCACGTGTCCGAGAAGAGGAACTCGCTCTCGGACAGTAACACCTCGAGATCGGAAGGAACGGTATGGAGATCAGAATTGGCTGGCTCAGGTAAATCACCCGCACTGTTTCCGATTCCTGTAGGCGCTATTTGTCTGGCCCTGCCGATTCTGACCCTGTCCTTCTTTTTCGCTGTCCTTAGAAGAACACCGGTTCGTGGAAGCTTCGGCCTGCCATTGACGTGTGTCGTGTTTGGCGCCATGGCAGGAACCTGTGCTACCTTGTCGGATTTTCTCAGTTTCACGCTGAACCTGAAGGGAGGTTTATAAACTACTTGCAGCTTCGCCCTCTCTTTTCTTGTCCCTGAACTTGCTGGTGCTTTCGTTTCTTTAGATTCGGTTGGTCTCCTCGAAACCGCTTGCCTGGTCGCAGGCAGTCTGGTTCCTGCACCAGTCAGACCCACAGGAGTAGACTTGCTTTTCGGTAAACCAGTCGCGTTGCTTCTGCCAGTTTCCGGCCGACATTGAGAGGATGCCAATAACCAGGAACGTACTTTGCTTTTCGGATCGGCGTTTGGCTCGGTTTCTTTCTCAGCCTGGATGGCCGAATAATCGATCACTTCTTTCTTGTGTTGCTTCTTACGCTTTCTTTTCTCGTTGTCCGCGCCGCTTACGTTGCCACTCGAATTCTGCTTATCTCGACTTGGGAAGGTCTTCTTCCGTTTGTTCTCTTGTATCATCGCAGGCGTCACGTCTGCTGATCTCTTCCTAGCAAAGTCCTCGGTCGCGTTCGCCGATATCCTCTTCGCCTGTGATTGCGGTTGTTTTTTCTTCTTCGATGCATCCTTGCCCGATTTGTCCGCGTTCCCATGAGAATCCTTATGCTTCCGGTGTCTCCTCTTCTCCCTGACTTTTCTGCTGAGTGGAAGCTTTGCACGTACAGCCGGAGGATGCACCGTCACTCCCTCCGTTCCCTCCGGCGGAAGACGCACAGTTTCCGTCGTTGAGCTGTGTATTATTGTAACTGACTTGAGTTTCAGGTCCGGCCGTTTGCCCAGTAATCGCATGCTCGCCACCTAAATTCAAAGAACGAGTCGTAAAGAATTAACGATGATATCAAGTGGTTGCGTGTTCTACCGTTACAGGTATTGATTTAGGCAGATGTTAGCGGTGAAATGTACGAGGAAAATCAACTACGATACTGCTGATAGTCGTACGATCGCGTGTTCGTTACACGAATAGTTATACGAATGCTGGAGGATTTATGACGAATTAGATACAAAGGTACAACGATGTTTTCAACTAGCGTGTGTTACAGATGCTGCAGATACAAGACTCTACTTTCGTCTGTTCCTAGACTTACTCTCGACACGTTTTTTATCCGCGCGTTTCCTCGACAGTCTCTGGCGTAAAAATGATTGGTATCGTATTATATAGTAAACT